GCCTGGTATTACCAAGGCATATCCTGAGGTGGCATAGCCGCCCCACTTCTAGGGCCTGGTATTACCAAGGCATATCTTGAGGTGGCATAGCCGCCCCACTTCTAGGGCCTGGTATTACCAAGGCATATCTTGAGGTGGCATAGGTGCCCCACTTCTAGGGCCTGGTATTACTAAGGCATATCTTGAGGTGGCATAGGTGCCCCACTGGTCGAAATCGGTCATACTTAGGCGCAACCTCGGGTGGCATAGCCGCCCCACCTGTTGAAATTTGTCGTATTAAAAGCCGACTAGACTTCAAAGAAGCCGGCCTTCGATCAGATATAAAGACGATGAGGGGGACATGTGCGTCTTGACGTCGGAGACCTTTGATGATGCTATGGATATATCCCTCAGAGACAATGGCCTACTACGCTTGGATGTGGTAGTATGAGGGAAGGCTCCTATCCACTGCTAGTCATGATAGGCCAACAATGATTGACAGGCAGTCGGTTCGGTTTCGTATGCGATTGAAATAACACTTGGAGCCTGATAGGATAAGTCTTTAAGCAGTCATTTGTGTCGAGGTGAACGCCAGGGAACCACTGCCAGCGTCTATGTTATCACATGCGGAGGCAATGTATTACCATACACCTCTTTCCTCAACCAAGCCACCATCGACAGACTCAGTCAATCTACGTAGTCCACAACTGTCTATCGCCGAAAGCAGCGGGCATGACAAAATTCCGGTGTCTTCCATCTCAAGAGCCTCGGATTCGGTTGATCATCCCTCAGAAGTCTCTCCTGCGGCTCCGTTCCGTTCTGGGCACTCTATTCTTCGTCCTAGTGGTGCTGCTACGACAGTGCCTATCGGGTGTGGTATGGAAACGACCGAAGGAGCTCCCACCCCCCGCGGTGCTGTGGCCCAGCTTCTCCCGTCGAAATTGAATGACAGAATATACGCGCCTAAGCCGGTTCTCAGGACGTTCCTTTGCCTCAATGAGATGAACATGCTGACTCCGAGAATGATCACTTCGGTAGAAATATCGGATCCCAGGATCGAACCTGCGGTTTCTGGCAGGTCACGGTATCTTTCATACCACTTATGATACAACGATGCAGCCGACACACAGATAGGCTGTCCTATCACGTTCACAAAAAGTACGATTGTATCAGGCCTACTTTGCAAGTGAGTATTTCGCAAATGTGGATGAATTGTGGTATTCAAGTTCCTTTTTTCGTCTCAGAGTATGCTGTTGGCGATAACCCATATACCAGAGCTCCACGAGTTAATGCCACTACTACAAGCGATCGTGAACTCTGGTCCCAATACGCCTGAAGTCACTGAGTTTGGCCAGTGGTTCGTTGGCCTGCTCAAGTCATTCTCAACTCTCAGCTTTGACACGCAAGTTCAGGTGAGCTCGATAGTGGGCGCACAACAAGGTCATGCCCGTGAGAGCTTCTCTTCAGCACTTCACCGTAACAATCACGTATGGCCTAGTTTTTGAATTGTAGGTGCTGCTGATGGTGGCTCCCTCGTGGATACCGTGTTTCCGAACGGCGATCCAACTAGGCCGCTTCGATGTACCACCAACGCCTAAACAACAAGTCACTCATTATGGTGAGTTACCACTTCTTGGGTTGTGTGTATATGTGATAACGGCAGGTGCAACACCTGAGGTGTTGAGTGTGATGGCTGTGGCGTGAACCCTATAGTAGGGCCCCGCTTCAAATGCCAAGTATGCGACTATAACCTTTGTGGTGAATGTTATCCGAATAAAAGCACAATCCATGCCGAATCACATGATTTCGTATGTGTCCTGCGTTCTGGCAGAGAGGCCTCTGGAGTCAAACTAAGGCTCCTAACAGTGAGAGCAATCCAAAGCATGTGCGAGCTACATCGCTGATTCATCTCAGAAAGAATCTCAGGAGCTAACAGCTCCGACGATGTTGTCGGCCAAAGCACCGTCATTGAAGTGCCGAACCCCGGCGGGGGAAGAGGAGCACAAGAATTACCATTGATCGACGAATGGCTGATGTGTAGTACCGAAGAAGGGACATGCAACGCCTCCCGATCATCCGTTTGATTATTACCTCTATAGAGTTGTCCAGTTGTCTTTCCTCAGGTCGACGGCAGTACCGAGTAATAGGCAGTACCGACATTGATGGCTTCGTTGTTCCCTTCATTCGTTGCTGCTGAACGAATATGCATGGGTGCTCCACCGTCAGGCTGTTGCTGATCATCAACAGGTAACTCCTCTCGGTCAATGTGGGCGGCTTCGGCTTCCTCATGGAGAGTAGATATCTCCCTGCTGGAAGAACCATCGGCCTTGTTGCTATTCTTAGTCGATCTAGGAGCCATAGTAGCAGTATATGGATCCCGGTAGATGCGTCGAATACTATGTGTGGGGAGGATCTCAAAGGTTGTGGTTCAAGTGGATGTAAATCACACACAGTAGTCGGACGGCAGCAGATGTGTCGCAAAGGGTTGAGCCTAGAGGTAGGCAAGGAAGTACCTGTAAACTGTTGAAGGCTCAAGGGAGAGCAAATGCGACGCGTTCGTCAATACTTCGAGGTTGAATGCCGTGACTCCAACTCGAAGGAAACGCAACTAGAAGAACCAGTTACGAAAGGGGCTAGTCGAAACGCTTGATAGTCTAGAGATCTACTGTAACCAAGGAAGGCACAGTAGGCAAATCTCACGAGAATATCACGAATCACAAGTAATGACTCTTCAAATCTCTTCTAATCTTCGAATCAAAAGGAGACAACCGTTTCAGCCGTTTCAATATGGGAATGCACTAATTGCATGTAATCCGAGCGAAATCAGCAAACCACAGTTGGGCTGTTGAATAGTCGATCAAAAAGAGGGGGTATCAATAGTACTAGTTCATCTATCAGCTTCTTACTGGCCATTGGTGGGCCTATCTCGGACGGGACGTCCGACACAGCAGCCCTATTCAGTAGGCAGGTCGCACCTGCGCGATTGCGTGAAAAGTTTGGGCGCGCTCTCTCAGGGGCCCCCACCCCTGGCGCGCGCTGATGCCATCATGGCATATATTGAAGCTTTGGGCAAAGCAGGTGCCCAACACCAAGCTGCTTTAAGCATATAACAAGGAACACGCATGCTAGAAATGAAAGTTTCTCATATCCACCATATATGTGAGTGAACCGGCATCCTCTCGAATTAAGCCTAACGATCACACGAGTTACACGTTACAAAACATGTATCATCGTGAAACTGTCCAGGACGCGCGCCGGAGGCGCGCGCAAGTGCTCCCACTATCTATAGTCCTATTGTGAGATTTTTTCCGGTTCACCATTTTCAGGATTCACGGCTTTCAAGGCCACCCGGCTGAAAGGGATAAGATAAGAGGCCTTATCACCTATTATGGCTATCCCGAGTGTTGTTGAGTCAACCAGTGCGGGTCTTACTACTAACGAATCGATCATGCTATGTGTGTGTGACGCACGCGGTGCGTAGCCCACTGCTCATTACTTGTGCTTTGGAAGCCTCACGAATTGCCCATTATTCTCTCGATCGAACTTATTGATTCAGTTGTCACTCGGAAGAACCATACCTGAGCCCCAAGATTCGACTTCTCTTCTTCTCTCTCTCTCTTGACTTCTTCATTTTCTTAATAAGAAATTCTCATAGTTGGTCTATCCGTGTACGATTTGTGGCAGGTTAACACCGCACAAGGTTGTGCGGAATCTTGGTAAAAGGGAGCGTTTAACGTGGAGTAAAGACGAAGTACGGTGAAGTACGCGAGTTGATCGATGTCTGTCGGTGATCGTATCTGTCTTGATTTCTTCATTTTCTTAATAAGAAATTCTCATAGTTGGTCTATCCGTGTACGGTTTGTGGCAGGTTAACACCGCACAAGGTTGTGCGGAATCTTGGTAAAAAAGAGCGTTTCACGTGGAGTAAAGATGAAGTACGGTGAAGTACGCGAGTTGATCGATATGACTGGAGCAGAAGGACTCCGGATTGAGGGAGACTTCTAAGGTATTTTCTTTCGGTAGCATCAGGATGTGTTTGCACATCCATAGCGTGTTGTAAACATCTTCTTTATGACTAACTCATCATCTAGCGCCGATGCCAGCGTTGGGTTGTTCACCAGCGGTGGTTGGCTTGCTCAAGAAGACGCTACAAGATCCAAAATATGGGCCGAAATGCGTTATCCTATGCTCGTTAGGTTGCTGGCCTTGGTTTGTGTATTTGACGTGTTGAAAGTCTCCCAAGGAAAAACTCTCAAGCTCGATGTGAATTACAAATTTATGCCTGCAATAGGCTTTGGATTGTTCCATACTCTGGTCGGTGAGAATGGTCAGAACGTACATGTTATCGTTGACACTGGATCGGGTTACGTTTTCCTCACCTGGAAGCATTGGTTCGAGAATACCACTGGAAAACCCTGCAGTGTAGCGCCCATGGGGTGTTACGAATGCTCGAAGCCATGCTCTGTGAGTAACGTTACGAGAACTGTTGAGTTCGAGGACGACTACACGGTGAAAATTTGGCAGCACAAATCGAAATTGACGATTGGTCAGGTGTCAAAGATCCTTACTTTCGGACTGATATTCGACCAGAAGCCTCCTGTCACTAAAGCTCCTCCAATTAATTTGATTGGTCTTAGTCAGGATATGGGCGATGCGAACTTCCCTTCTCTCATGACGCAGTTGCGATCATCGAAAACTATAACGACCGATATCATTGCTCTCTACTTGTACCCTCCAACTGATCCCACGGGGGCATCCGCTGATGGAGGCCTACTCCTTGGTGGAGGCGATCCTGCATTATATGAGGGAGCATTGAAGTATGTCGACTTCTCTACGGGCGAAGGTTACACGGTAAATATTAACAAGTTGCGAGTCGGTGATGGAACTGTAACTTCTGGTATCAATATGAACTTAGATCTCGACACCGGCGCCAACTATCTATACGTCCCAAAATTATACTATAACCAACTTATCGACGATATTAAAGCTCAAACTGACAATGCTGTGGGTAAGCATGTCGTTTTCAAGTTCGATCGAGAAGACAAGAAATGGTCCTTCCCTTGTCAACACATGAGCCAGTTGCCACTGTTGACGTTTGCCTTGGGGCCTCAGGGCGCAACCCCATTTACGATGACATTCACGAACTATGCCGTGAATGACGATGGTATTTGCCTACTCCTTATCATGCAAAGCCAAGAGCATGACTGGAGTTTCCACGATCGTATGTTGATCGATAAGTATTTTGAGTTCGACCCTACTCGTAAACGAGTCGGATTTGGCAAACTGAGACCGCGACATCCATGAACAATTCTCTTATTTCGCGATCTTCTTTTGAATCTACGTTCTACAGCAGAATGCCCTCCATCATCGTTGGTCATTTTACGACCGCTTCGGGAGGAGGCCTTCAGTAACTGAAGTTGTTCAGTTGGATCCCCCATTCTCGTAGCATAGTTCTACAATGTAGGACTAGGTTAATCTACATACAATATTTAGAAGGATGCTATTTGTCGAAGCATTCGCCTCCTTGAGAGACTATTATTTGGCTATTGAGCTCTATATGTCCGCGGATTAGGATTTAACTTGAGCTTTTTGAGTTCATCATGAGTGCATCATATCACCGAGCAAAGAACTACCCGCTGAACTTCATCGATGCGCTACAAAGAGAGATTCCAGTTTGAGTGGTTTTATCGCGGATAAGCCTTCAATTTCGTGATCGCGATTTCGCTGACAAAGACATCAAATCAATGTCTCTGTCAGCGAAACGATGTCATCAAGTTGATGTCAGTAATTTCCGGGCCAGGCATGACCCGCCGCATCAGGGCACAAACTTTCTGGGCTGCAATTTGTAACTTGCAATCATGCATGAGAGCATCTAACGACACCGTCCTTGAAAAGGACTCCCCTCCTGGAGATTCGATAGCCCATCATTTGCGCGGGGAACGCAAAGCACATCCGATGGGCTGACTCAGAAAAACATCTGTCTGGTGGTGAACATGAGTGCAGACCTCATTAGATCAGAAATTGCGGAGCGAGCGAAGCGAGCGGAGCTTATTCTGATCAGCATCTGATCTTAACTTTGTGCGTGCGTGCGTATGCAATTATCCAGCCCGATCCAGATCAGATATGAAAACGTCTGAACCACCGTTCGAAAGCTCCCGGTCTGGGGATCTTGCAAAAAATATGAAACCCTGCATTATGCAGGCTGCATATCAGCAGCCGCTCCGAAAACGGCCGAAAATTAATTGCGTTAGAAATGACGTCCGTGGGGATCGAACCTGCGACATCCATTTTCGGCGCGGGAGTCGATCGAGTCAATCGTTCTTGCGCGTATGACGCGAGCTCCGCCCCTTCTCCGAGAAGGCCTAGTTCATAAAGCTCCCGAAGGCCATGAGTTTTGTGGAATAGTTCGCATTTCTCATCGAGAAAATAGGCTCTTACATTTTTCCCCCTGCCACATGTACATTTACACAGTGATCCTGTGTTGTCTCCCATGGAGTTCTCTACACCTGGGACGGGCACCGGGCAGGGTTGAAGCCCTCACATTTTCGTCTACCACTCTGATTCTTCCTCCACCACGAACTTATATTGTGCGATACAATGAGAATAGGAAAATATTCTACATGGACCTTCCACGACTAAGTAGTATACTATACATAACACCATTCGGCAGATAAGGCCACAGTATTCGGGGAAGAGGAACCCACACACTGGAAGCAAAATCATAAACTTGGCGCTTGGATTCACATTAATGCATCATATTAGCCGAATCAGTTTCCGAATGGTCGCGCCCAAACCCTAGACGTACAGACGTTTAGACGGCCTTCAGGCGACGGCTCGCGCTTCGCAGCTGACAACGTGTCCAGTGGACGACGTGATACAAATTCCCAAAAAAGCAGAGTTATCGCGAATACCACGACTGTCGAAATCATTGTGACGTAGCGGGAGGGACAATTACTGAGAAAAAAATCAGAGACATATCTCCGGGAGATAATCTGCCCATATCATTACTATTCTAACGTCCAATGCAACGCAACCCAACACTTGTAGAGATGACAAAAATATTTTTTTCTTTTGGACATTTTACATGCAGTTGCATGAAAATTTCGTGATGAAGTGTATAAACGGAGAAGAGGTGTGTCTCCGATGGTACGGGTTGTGCGCTGTCGAGGCAGTGGCGTTAGTGTTGTCGGTGGTAGGCGATCATCACGCGAATGGTAGTCATTGATTCAGTCAATGATTCAGTCAATGATTCAGTCAATTCGCCCACACCACTCAATGTACGTGTTTTTGTGGTGCATTCTTCGCGTCATTAATATGAATGCCTCACATCATGGTGTGAGTGATTATCGGAATATCAATACGCAAAGGATTATCCCACGGTGACAGTTGTTGCGATAAATCTGCCTGAAATGAGTTCGGAGCATCTTGTGGTGAAGGTTGGACACGAAGGATGTATCTGGCGACTGAAGGTACCGGTACAGGATGTATCATACAACAAAGTGAAGGAAGTTGTGGGAAAGACGGTATCACTCGAGAAGGGCCGCGTCATCAGGTCAGTACTGGGCGCCTCTACCGACCTCAGCTTTTTGGTAGTAGCCACACTGCTGTTTTCACTCTTATAGGATCAGTTTTCCTCCTGGGGCGGCTATGCCAATCCCGGGT